CCGAAGTTGCTCGTTTTGATACTGTAATGGATGACTTACTCGACGATCTTTTCTTGTTGACGTCGTGTTTCATTTGTTGTAACGAGTTCTTAATTGATTGACTGTCTGCAAAGACAGATGCAACACTCATTCGATGAATTCGAGCAATAAAACCTAAAAATATAGATTTGAAATACTAAAATGATCATTGAATTTCTTCATTAATCTTACTCAAAAGAAGATCAAATTCACCATCAGCCAAATCTTTGAAAGATGCTTTTTCACCGTAGGCAGCACGAACTACAGATCTAGCTGTTGCATTCAATGAAGAACCACGTTCGATGTGATCCAAATTGATTCCATTTAATGTCTAAAAATAGTAAAACCGATGATAACAGTTCAAAGAAAATTCTTTGTATAGTCAAAGATACTGCAAAGTCTAAGACTTTTATGCAAAACCAATTGTGCGAAACATGGTAAATGGTAATTGAGCATAGTCTATTGCCTAAAACGTTTACTTACCATTACGATATCTTCATCATCATTCGTTTGCTGTGTTTGCAATACTTTAGCTTGCTAAAAAGATAAAAAACTACAAAAAAAGATGTATCAATTTAGAATCTCAGCTTACTAAATGGAGAATATGAGATAATTTTTCAATCAATTTTTGTAATTCACGTGGACCATTAATCGATTCATTGATTAAACGTGTTTGTTCTGTTATCTGTTGCAATATTTCTTTCACTAATTGATTTGTTTCTTCACATAACTTTACCAGTGGTTTCATCATCTGATTAATTCCTAAAACTTAAATAAGATTAGTAATGGAACAGAAAACATCTTTATAATATAAATAACTATTTTGTGTTGTTTCAGTAATCGACTTTGTCGTTGCAGCAACTGTTCTTGAACTAAGTGTATTTTCACCACCAACATTATCTAAGATTTGATAATTAATAAAGAATATTTCGTAAATAAATTTTTAAATATAAATGTACTCATCATTGCTGCTGCTGTACTTTGAACAATCGGATTAAATCGTTTACGAGGAAGTGGTGCAGTTGATGGAGCAACCAATGTACTAGCAGCAGTTCGACGTTTTTTAGCTGATAATTATTCGAATGAATTTACATGATCTCAAATATAAGATCCTGTTACACTTACCTGTTAATGCAACAGGTGCTACACAATTATTATCATTACTTGTAGTTGAATTATATATCGAAGACAATGGTTGATTCATAGGTTGATTCATAGGTTGATTAATAGGTTGATTAATAGGTTGATTAATAGATTGATTAATACATTGATTAATACATTGATTAATAGGTTGATTAATACATTGATTAATAGGTTGAT